ATTTCAAAAACACTAGTTTGATCATACGTCTGGGTTCAGAGATCAGGACGGGCATCCATGTGTACTCCTAACATAAAGACCGATCCAATGGAATTGGTCCATAGAGCAGAGTGGCCGCTACAGGCAAAAAGAGGTCAAATGTTCTTATTTTGATGCTTCTAGTTTGTTGATTTGGAAAATTAAGAAATTCTTGAACCTCATGTTATTAGCAAGGTAAAATAAATAGCATCTAGGAAAAACCTCTGGACATTACAAAGTACTATCAAAGATTTATAGCAAAAGTTATATATTACGGAACTAAGTTAACAAACTTCGTGATATCCTAACATTATTGCTTCCATTTTATCAAGTACTAAGATCCACAGAGGAAGCCATTAAGTGCCAATAAATATTAAATTTATGTCTCCTAGGCCAGGTGCAGTGGTTCACACCTGTAATCCCAGCACTGTGGGAGGCCGAGGTGGGAGTATCACTTGAGTCCAGGAGTTCGAGACCAGCCTGGGTAATGTGGTGAAACCCATTGTGTACAAAAAAAAAAAAAAATTATCCAAGCATGGTGGTTCATACCTGTAGTCCCAGCTGCTTGGGAGACTGAAGCAGGAGGATCATTTGAGCCCCAGAGTTGGAGGTTGTAGTGAGCTATGATCAAACCACTGTACCCCAGCCTGGGAGACAGAAAGAGACTATGCTCTTAAAAAAATTGTATCTCATAATGTTTAGAAACCTCATAGAGGGTGGTCTTTTCTCTTTTGCCACAAGATAAGATGTCTTATTTGAAAACATCCAATGTAACAGTGTATCTAAAGGAGAATCCAATGAAATTAATATCCTGGCTATTGATCACAACACATTTAAGCTGTGTGACACAATAATATTTGAAAGGGTGATAAAGTACAGTGAACTAAATTATTTCAACTATTCTATAAGTGAGGAAAAGGAAATAACAGAAAGGAAGCCAGTTTTGAAAAATGTGAGCATACTCCAAGAAAAGGAAATTACTTCATAATTTCTCAAGAGGACTTATCCCTCTTTACTTATAAAATTAATAATGCCCATACAGAGAAAGTGAGAAAATACTTGAAATGTCATGAAAAATCTCTTATTCCTTAAGACTGTGTTATTTGGGGGCATTTATACCATGTGTATAAGGCCAGTCCCAGTTTCTGTGCTTTTATGTAGACCAATTTATAACAGGATTTGGTGTCATGGCAATATCAAATAAAGAAACTGTCAACAGTGAATGTTTCTCAGTAATCTATAGATCGATCAGTTTAAAAATGTATCAATAATCACGTAGTATTTATAGTTATTAATATGGACTCTTAGTCTAGACTTTGGTGTCTGACCAATCCGGATATAAATCTAAGTTCTGACATTATAAAGTTGCGTGGCCTTCTGCATGTTGTTCATTTCTAAGTCTTAGTTTTGCATCTATAAAATGGACACTGCTCACAAGAGAGATGGTAAGTGAAATAATAAATATAAACAACCTAGAAGAGTACCTGGAATTTAGTATATGCTCCATGAATAGTATTTCTCCATCAGACACACACACACACACACAGATACTTATTTTATTTTCATTAATAATAAAAACTACATCATACGCTTACCAATTGTTCCTGGGTCAACACGAATTCCATTGAAACGGTCACAAATGACTCCCTCTGAAGCTCTAAGGAAGATCAGAAGCTTTTGTTCTTTTTCTAAGGGATTTTCTAAAGTACCTGTTTACAAAGAAAAGTATATCATTCAAAATAATCCAAAACATTTTAAAATAAAGAGAAAAGGAAATTGTGATGTAATTTCAGGAATGCAAAGTAAGTGCCATGAAGAAAACTATATGGAGAAGAGGCAATGGTCACATAGATAAAATTAGAATAGAAAAAAAATAAGATTCAGTATACTTCATTGAGGGAGATTGGATTATTGTTCAGCAAACATCCCACTCTTCTTTCTTTATTATGGTGAGGTAAACTTTCCTGACCTACTATTTATCCTGGGCATGTGACTTGTTTTGGCCAATGAACTTTGAGCAGCAGTGATAGTAATGTCAGGTCTCAGTTCATGCTTTAAGAGATTTGGCAAGTTTTTAACCAATCTCTTCTAATGACGCTTTCTGCCATGAAATAATAATTCCTTAAAAGGCCTCTAGCATCTGAATGAAGAGATATACAAAGCAAATCTGAATAGAACACACAAACTGAAACCAAGTCCAACTTAATTTAGCAGAAATATTTCTTGTTATAAACCACTGAGATGTGGAGATTATTTGTTACACACCATTACTATGGCAAAACCTGCCTGATATACTGTCTATGGCTAGATAATCCCCAAATTCCTTTACATGCATTTTAGCACTGAATCCTCACAACAAACCTGCAAAGTATGATTCTAACCCCTCCCAATTTTAAATATTCACATATAAGAGGCTTAGAGGTTCAAGGACTTGTCTAAATTTATGCAATACTAGTAAGTAACAGAGTTTATTTGAACAAAGGTCTATTTATGCTAAGTGTTTTCTTAAACAAACAATAAGTTATTTTCTAAAACTAAATTCTTTTGGCAGCATAAAGACACGTAAACACATAAGGTTATGACAGACAGCAGCTGGGAATTACTCCTGTTCTTATTCTGTTGATGTTAACACTGGAGCATGGTCACTTTTACTGTATGAGAATTGTTCAAGGAATTTGCTGAAATAGTGTTAGTGAGTATGGACCTAAGGAAGGTTATTTTCTTTGAAAAATGTATCTTAGAGTACAGAAAATATTACCAAGCATCAGTTGTTTAAGAAGTAACTGATGGGAAGGTAGTCCTCAAACTATATACTGCATTAAACAGGTTTACAAAAACTATTCTACTATCCAGTGAGATTTTCTACTTTATAAATTCCTGAAAACATAACCAAAAATGATATTGCAATACAGTATGAAATAACTGGTAAGCTTGTAATTGCCTGGTTTTCATCATGGTTAGTGGTCTTTCAAACTGTATAAAATCATTCCCTCCAGCTGACACTTCATAAATACCTGGTTAGCCAAAAGACTCAAGGTGAGTTTGAAGCTTGCTATGTACCTTTCTTTACAGTCTAGCCTTCGCAGCCACTACAATAGAGGCTGTTGAGGGCAAGACTCAGGTAAGTAAACCTGCCTGGAGTCATGTGGTCCATGGGCAAGCAAACCTGTATATCTCTAATGAGAGGCTACATATGGTATGCTGCTGCTCTGTGTAGGTAATGACACTCCTCAGCTCAGAGACTAATGCAGCCTCTTAGCCAAAACAAAGATATGCTAGAGCAGAAAGAAGGGAAGCAGGGGAGGAGGAGACTGTTAAGCAAATGTGTGTCGTGTAGCTCTTATCTTGCAGTTATAAGTCTGTCCAGTAAGCCGTTTTCCAACTGTGATTTCATTTATTTCACGGAGGGTAGTTTAGAGTCTTGGGGGAAAAATGGCCTAGCACTAAACAGATACCAGAGAGAAAAAAGTAGGACAGTTTTTGCCCTAGAGAAATGTATGCAGAGTCCCACAAAAAGAGTTCAGCGTTCCTCTAAAATCAGAGATTAAATCAATTATGCAACCCAAAACTGCAGCACATGGGGAGATTTCACAGAAAGTCTGGGCAAAATTAGTTAGCCTGCTGTGATCTTTTGGTATCTGAAATGACCAGAGTTTGGCTTCTTTTTTGTAACTTAGGGAAACGAAAAGATGGAGGATAGGGACAAATACAAAGAAGGCAAGGGTGACCTAAGAGAAGAAAATATATGCTATTCTAACATTAAAATGCAACACTTCTTGAATTTGTAAAAGCTGGTGAATGGAAAGCTTTAAAGGCAGAGAACCTCATTTTATTCTCAAATCTAGCAAAGAAAGGTCAGGCACTAACTCCAGGATGGACTTTGTCCCTCAATGAGAGGAGCCACTTCGAAGGAAGATGCTCAGGATAATGCAGTTTATCCTCGGTTTACCTTTATAAAGCTGCTCTAAACCATAGCAAGAGGCATGTTAAACCTAGATGAATTTATGTCTTCATAATGAGAGGGAAAATAATTGTCACTCTGCTGCAAAGACATTCCAGATGTTTTCGCATGTGTGATTTCATTTAATTCTCACAACCCTATGATGAATATTGTTGAGGTTCTCATGAGGAAACTGAGGCAAAGAGCGGTCTATAGCTATTAAGTGGTGAAGGTGGACCTTAGACTTAATAAGTACCATCCTAGCAGATGTGGATATGCAGAAACAGAAAAGTAGTAAAAGGAAGTTGATATTACTTAGCATGATGGTGGGCAATGGAGGGGAAATGATGTTCCAGATGCTAAAAACACCTGGGGAGATGGAAGAAAATAAATTCTGGTATATGAAAGATAACCACTATAATGATTTGAGGAATAGGGCACAAATGGATTCCATGAACTTCAAAAGGTAAGAAAAAGGAAAAAGAATGCTTTATTATTTTATTAACTAAACTTCTTTGGTAGGTCAGTTAATAAACCAAACATCTTTTGAAGGAATCACATAGAAACCTAGTTTACACATGAGCCCATTCTGTCAACATGACTCCCCACACCTTGTACTAAGCCAATCCATACTGGATTATTTACCCTCCCCTTAACTCTCTCTCCTCTGTACCTGTGAGATTTCCCATTCTTTTATATCCTTTACCTTCATCTTACCTAACTTCTAATCGTCCCTAAAACTTGGCTCCACTGTAACTTATTTCTAAAAGCCTTCTATGACCTTGGATTAGATGCCCCCTTTTGCGCACAAAAGTGTCTGTGCCCCTTGCTGCAGTGATTATACTTCAAGGAACTTATCCTAAAAAAGTAGTATGATCCAGGTGTGGTGGCTCATGTCTCTAATCACAGCACTTTGGGAGGCCAAGGCAGGAGGATGGTTTGAGGCCAGGAGTTCAAAACCAGCCTGGGCAGCATAGCAAGACCCTGTCTCCACTGGGGGGGGGGGAAAAACACAGAGAGAACTAGTGTGGAATATGGACAAAGATTAAGGACCAAAGTTCTTCACTGCAATGTTATTTATTTATAATATCAAACATTTGAAAACTCTTAGAACCAGCAAATAATTGAAAACATTTTGTCCATTTAGAACCCCTTCCACTCTCCTCAGTCTTTTCGACATGCTAAATAGTTGAACTGCACAAGACCCTAAGCATACCAAGTGCTTCCTTACCTCAACTCTCTCTGCCTCAAACACTCTCAATTCCCTTTTCTTCATGGCTGACTCTTAACTTTCAATCCCAGCTCAGATATCCCCTCTTCTGGGGTTCTTCCTTGTCAAATAATTCTGGGTTAAGTGACCCTCTACGGGCTATCAAAGAAAACTGTGTTTTACCTCAATACTTCTCAAACTATATGATAAGTGCTTTTTACTCGACTACCTCCTTCTCTCAGTAAGCTTAGACAAGAAACTGTGGGTTGCTGGCAGAGTTTATTTGAAAATATTTTATTCCAGAAATGGTTAACTAGGTAATTTTTTATCAATCTTCTTGCAGAAACAATTAGAAATAAAGAAAATTATCCCATACTAATAAAAGACCAACTTCACTGGTAAGTTATAACAATTTTAAACATATATGCACCTAGCATTATAGCTTCAAAATATATAAAGCCAAAACTGACAGAACTACAAAGACAAATAGATATATCTATAATAACACTGATAAAGTCAACACAACCGCTCCTAGAATAAACAAAAAATACAATAAAGAGATAGCAGTTTTGAATAATAAAATTAGCAAACTTGACATGACAGGCATAGATGAAAAACTAGACCCACAAAGAATACACATTTTTTTCAAGCATGCACAGACATTTAGAAAAATTGATCATATGATGATAAAGCAGTTTAACAAATTTAAAAGGATTGGGATTATATAACATTTTTTTTCTTACCATAGTTCAATCAAAATGTACAATTCTTAATAAAAAAAGTTTTATAAAGTGAACTATATTAAAATAAAGATTTTCCAATCATCAAAGGATATCATTAAGACAATAAAAAAGGAAGCTACAAAGTGATAAAAGATATTTGCAATCCATAGAACCAACAAAAAATTCATTCCAAAATATGACTTCAATAAATCAATATAAAACAGATAAGTCCATCATTTATTTGATAA